ATTAATAAATTGATAACATAAATTCTTCGATACTCCCGAACATATTATCGATATTCAATCTTAATTACATTTCAAAACAATAGAATTTAATCGACAACTGTCGGCTGACTCGACATGTTTTCCATTTACTTTTCATTTATTTTCTAGCCGTCAATATTTCAACATTGTCCATTATTTTTATGAAACTGTAACGCTCACATCAACCACTGAAAATACATCAAAACTTTTACAGTCACCCAATATTATTGTACTTCCAGTAGTAATATTGAACTCTTTTGTTAAGAGAACGTATTTACTACCTATTGTTTGAATTTCTATATCTTAATTTCTTGTTTTATAACAACGGACGACTCGTATTAAAAGTTTTGTACTCAATTTAACAAACATCGCTATTACCCTCTGTTCATACGGCAAAGTTGAAAAACCTTTAAAGAAAATATACACCTATAATGAATACAAAATTCCTTTATCTCTTTACAAGTAATTATCGTTTGCCTTTAACAAGTAATTAGTCGAACAGAGTGTAGATAAAATATCTCTCTTTGGTGCGTTTATAGTGAATCTGCTGAAGCTGAAGAAGAATTCTCATTATCTACGAGCTTCTTGAAGTGGTTCTTTTCCTGAACTTCCACTTAATTTACAATCTGTTTTATTCACGAAACATTAAGTATATTGTTTTATCGCTTTGTCAATATTAACGTGAAGATATTTCCGTTTGGATCTCACCTGAAAGCTTGAAGTGGCATATAAAAAATATAAAAAAAGTACACCTGAGACGTAAGTAAATATTGTATATTACAGGCACTATTCGTATCATCAATTATGAAACATAGTTATATGCATCGTTTAAATGTAAACGCTTCCATTATAAAACAAAGGCATGTATTTCTTCGCTTTACTTGTACCTCCACATTGATCGAATATTACAGCTTTGTTGTAAACGTACCCTTAGGCTGCGTTTACATCGCAGGTTCAATCTAGCAAAAAGAGCGTCGATCATGACGTCGATAAAAGCAATTCAAAATAGCTTTCTATGACGTATTTATAGCAGAGCTGCGATAATCGCGCGGTTTCAGCTGTTCAGTACATATAGCATGTTTAATAAACATCTGACCAATTAATTTTTCTACGTTCATTACGGTGTGTTTCTTCGTTCTATCTCGGGAAAATGAGAATATAATGACCAATAACTGCAGAAAATTAATATAACTTTTTAACTATTTATTATAAAAGGATAAATCCTTTTAACAAAGTTTTTTCTATAGCGGTAAAAAGTAATTAATAATTAAGCCAAACATAAAAAATGTCACTTTTCTCCATCACGAAGCCGACCAGGTAAAAAAATAGCACGTATCGACGTTTGGATCGATGCCTGTTGCTTTTAGTCGCCGCTACAATGTAAACGTTTCCATAGTAAAACAACGGAACATATTTCTACGCTTCGCTCCCATCGATACACTTATCGAGTATCGCAGCTTCGATGCTAGCGTAGAGAGCATCCATCATATCGCCGATACGAGCTATTCAAGATAGCTTTATACGATACATTTATAGTGGAGCTGCGATAATCGCGTGGGTTCAGTTGTTCAACCTATGCAGCAGGTCTAATAAACACCCGAGCAATTAATTTTTCTACGTCCATTACGAAGGTGACCAGAGTAAAGAAACAGGACGTATCGTCGCTTGGATCGACGATCCTCGCTTTTACTCGCTGCTCCAGTGTAAACGTTTCCACGGTAAAACAATGGAACATATTTCTACGCGTTGCTCTCATCGAAGCTCTTATCGAGTATCGCAGCTACAATGTAAACGTAGCCTTACACGTCCGACTCGGTCGGCGGCGCGCTACACCGTCATAATTGTATATTACCGGAGGCGGAGCGCCGGCCGGCCTGGCGTGGCGTGTCCTGTTTGCATCGGACCGTCGCGTGCACAACAGAAAAATTTAAATTTTACAGCCCGAGTTTGGGAGCCATTGCCGGGCCACGCCGCTCGCCGCTCGGATCGCACTAAGAGAAGAGAAATTCGCGCGGAATCCCTGGAGGCGGCGCATGCGACTCGCCGCGGTGTGCGTACCCAACACGACCGAGCCGGGCGTGCGTGTGTACATGCGGCGAAACGAACAAAGCGGGGAAAAAAGTTGGAGTATAATTTTTCTCCGCTTTAGTATCCGGCGATATTACGGCGGAAGGCAGCGGGAAAGACAAAACTAAAGTAAATTCATTTTCGTGGAATAGTCGCCGCAGAAATGGAACAATATTTTCCCTTCGTTTTGCCGTTTCCTCCCTTTATCTGGCGAAATGACCCGCGCGAACCGTGAGTTAAGCGACACTGGATATATTCGTCCTTGGGACACACTATTGCAGGGCCAGGGTTTTCGTAGCGGACTCGAGTGAGCAGCTGGGAGTTTCGACTACGATTGGCATTTCAGGTCAGCTGATGGAGACGTAAGATGTTGCAAACTGAGATTTTTGGGGATTTATAAATTACTGAAGATTACAAAATTATAAAATTATTTGCTATTAAATCTTTGTACTCGGAATGATAAATATGCTAAGTTTGTATATTTTTGGGGAAAATTTGGAATGCTAGTTATGATGTGAATATTTTTGAATCTTTTCAGTATAGCATACCGGATTAATAGAAATGTATTATTTTTTAATCAAATGATCTTAAATATGTAGGATAGAGCGTGGTGAAGGGCAAGCATGGTGATTTGCCTAAGAATTACTAAACGTTGTACGATATTCAATTTATTGGTATTCCTCCTCAAGTCGAGGAAAAATATCTCGGGACTCGTGTTAAAACAGCTGGCAATTTCTTCTACATTTTCCATTAGGGCTTCAACGGTTTTGCCCTTTACGCAGACCCTAGTTTATGACTTGTCTCTGCGTTTGAGTGTCAACATAGGGGGTCGAGCAAAGGTTGCTTGATCAACAACGTGCACTCCTGTTTCCCTTCCCCATTTTCACAAAATACCTACAAATAGTAAAATATAATACATGTTCTTCGGGATATAAATATCTTTTGAATAATTAACTGAAAATTATACCATAGTTTTGTATTGAATCTATCGAAAATGAAATATTTTTTGTTAAAAAACAATAATCATAAATGTTTCTGAACCTATATGTTTTTATTTATTTTCCCACTTTAAGTATCTCTAATAACAAAACTTGAAACTTTCTATATTGCGAATTATGATAAAACTTAGGAGGCGTATTATAAGAAAACTGCAAATTTTATCCGTTTGGAGGTCACTTAATTTATTAAAGATATTCTACGAATTAATCTGTAAAAATCTATATTCGCATAAACGGTGTAAGTTTCAAGGTCATCGTAATTGCGCCAAAAGAGTTTAATGGATTTAGTTATCAAAGAGCATTGTGACTATCATGAATAAAAGATCGACTACATCGATTATTCGATTATCCTGATTGCGAACTTTGCCACAGTAGTTTCCTTTACGCGAAATTAGTCGAATCTGCGACTACTCTCGTCTCCTCAGTTAGTCGAATCAGCCTAACTACTTATCGCACCTGCTGTTGAAAGGTAGCCGGAGAGTAAGTTATGGACGAATCCTTTATTCAACTTGTAACTACACAACATTATTTTTTTTTTATCAAACTAGATCGGGCTCTTTGTTTTAGCATCCAGAGATTGAATGTGTAGTTGCGTTGTTTGCTCTGTGATATTGATTTCAAACGGGACTATAAATTCTGATTGGACTTACAAAGAACGGGACTGTTCGCCGATTCTTGCGAATCGTTGAACATTGAAATGGCGACAGCATATCGGAAAGATGAAGTTGAAGTTCTTCAAAATAATAGGTACAATAGTTTTCTACGATTAAAATAACGATTCTTGTACTTTTTACAGGGTAGATTAGAAAAGTAAAACAAATTGCTGTGTGTTTGTTATATAGTACATATTCTGTTGAAGAATATTCAACATGTATTCTTTTGTTTATAATAAACAATATTAAAGGAATGAAAATATCTTTTGAATTTAGAGATTAAAGTAAGTTTTTTGGTTTTGTTTGACCTGTATTCTAAAGTATCTTGTCAATATTTACACTATACAAGCCATATACAGAAAAATTGAAAGAGCAACAACAGTTTCAAGCAAAGAATAGTAATTTACATTCATTTTTACATTTTATTGCTTTTCGTGTAATTAAAACAGGGAATACCAATCGATAAGTTTGGAAATATCAGTGTAATATCGGGTTTCTAGGCTCAGAGCCGTTTACAAATGACGTGGTATTAATTTGGTATAAAGTTCTATATTAACTTATATATTTTATATCTGAAGGTAATGTCTTTATAAAAGTGTTATAAGTCGTATTTAGTAGTGTAAATTGTTAAATCAGTATTTAAATTTCCGTAGGTAAAGTGTGTATATTAAAGCCTATAGATGCTTTCAGATAAAATTCATTTGAGGGAAAACTGGTGGTTCTTCAAAAAATTTTTCAATCAAAATCACCAGTCGGAAAGGTATTATCCCTCCGGCAATATGGTTTTTCACTAACGCAGCTAGCAATATGGACCTGTAAAAATTAGTACCAGTCCCGTAAAAATCTGAACAAACTCTAACATGCCTATTATAACTCCTGATTTAATATGCAAATGAAATTTTAGGTAAATCTTCATATCATTTTTCAGTAATACTTAAAAATCGAGGTACACGAAGAAGTACATTTTTCGACATGCTTTTAATATATTGCCATATTGCCAGAGAATGATTAAGTTAATTCCAGGGGAGATGGAGCGTGCAATTATCTCGCATAAACAATTGATACAATTACAATTACAATCGATATTTTGTCATTTTTACTTATAACTTCTGTTGATCGTTTTATAAGAAAGCATTTAAAGTTCATTTAGAAATGAAATCTGATGCTTTAATTTTTTTAGTTTCCATTTGCATGCGTTTCAGAGAAAATATGGCCACCTCCCTTGGAATTGCCCTATATAGAGCACCTAAGAAGCTTGACTTACCTAAGTCGTAGCAGTGACACCGTGTCAAGGACAAGAGAAGAAAAGCGCCGATTAGAAGTCCTCGAAGGGAGCCTGGGTCTGGTCTGGGTAGGAGGACCGGCATGTTACTGGTGACCTGGGCCATCGGCACGCCGACAACTTGCTCCTCCTCATCACTAACTGTCGACGATCCTGACCGCATCGGTCATCAAGCACGTTCCTGGCATCGCGATGGCCGCAAGGTGGTGAGTGTTCTCGCCGATATCCTGTACACAGAGTAATCCACGTTAATCCTCTACGGACTCCTAGGAAACATCCGCGTTAGACGGTTCCAATTGCTTTTCCGCATAAGTTGTATCGATACTGATGCAAATCATGTGTTAGAGATTCAAAATCACGGGCAGCGGCGACTTTCAGAAGATTCTTTAATTTCTATAATACAACACGAGGAGTCACGGCCTATCTAAAGGCTTTTAAATTTCTATGCATCTTTGTACCGACAGGGATTGTTTCATTGTTTGTACTACCGACTTTATGTTTATTACTTCCAGGAGAATAGGCTGTGACTTCTCGTAAAGTCATTTAACACGTGGCAAGAAGTTCCGAACGACCAGCTAAGACCTTGTTTACCTGCGGGCCCCTTTTCGTCAGAGGCATGGTCACTCGCGCGCTCAAATAAGATGCTTACGTGCCAAAATAATGTATTTACACGCGTACCCCAATTGACCAATCGCAAATCCGTTTACTTCAACCGCCAGTAGGAAAATTACTCAGTTCCAAAATTCTCGAAAGTTGCCGAAGACGCTCCATCTCTTCTTTTGTCAATGACAAGAGTTTTCTACGAATTAGCAAGTTAGTCAGCAACGAGGCTACATGTGCTTAGAAGCACTTCGTCTTTATGTTTTACACATTTTCTGTATATTATTCTAGCGATTAAGGTCGTTACACAAGCAAACTCCAAGAACTCAGTTATCTATACAGTCCACTGTCATTTTTATAAGTAGTCAGTTATTTGGAGTTTACATAATGTACTGAAAGGGGAAAAAGCAAAAACTTAAATGTTTGAAGCAATAGAAACATTGCATAATTTTTTCCAGGATTCTATCCTGTTACTTTCATACTCATATGTCAACTGGAACTGTTTGTTTAAGCTATTCTTCCAGTGAAATTGATATACCTTATCAAATGATAAGATAATTAAAATAAGTAGGTACTTATAAAATAATTTACCTAAATTTAATCTTTTGGTACGTGAACAATATATAATATTAATAATAAAAAATATCAAATACATATAAAAGAAAACTGTATTTGGAGTTTCTTAATTCGTATGAAAAAATAATTGCCTTCAAATGTATGCCAACAAGGACAGATGTTAAGCACATATGATACACTAAAAAATGTTCAATGTTAAGTAGATTAAAAAGATCTATTTTCCAAAGATTATTTTTTCTAAACAAACACTTTACATATCTCGACATTGTGATAACTCCACCAGTTTTAGCTCTTGTGATTCATTTATTCTCCAGGATATCAAATACTAACGCACACAGAATTTAATTTTACTCTAGAAGTCAATGAATCTGTGGCGGCAGACCTGAAGCTTATCCGCCAACAGAGGGCCAATACGCCCTAGTAGGCCTTTGCCGCTATTAGCTCCTTTTCACAAATATACTTTAATATACATTACTTAGTATAATTTAATATAGATACTCCACAGTAGAACGATGCGGAATGTGTGCAGCAGAAGGTCTTACAAAGAGAACCAAATTTATCTTTTCCTTCGATTTCAAGTGTCGAAATTAAAAATGCAAAGAAACTGAATAAGTAATTACTGTTGCATTAGTCTTGTTACATGTGCCCGAAGTGTCTAACCGCAAAATCGAATCGCACGAGACCAGTTAATACTGTACTGTCGCTACTTTGTCGAATATAAAATGTTAATTATAGCTGCATTATTAATGAACATTCAACGAGAAAGCGTTAAGAGACCGTGTTTCCGCGATTGCTAGATCACGGCTTGCAAATTTGTGCAGCCGCACGGTGATAGATGGGCAAACGGCATCGCAAACATACCTCGCGCGTGCCGGTCGTGGCCGCAACACTCCGTGTGTTTGATCTGACGTTGCGCCATTCGTGTCGAGCAAAAGCAACAAATCCTATTCACAATTTTTCGGTCGTCCAAACTTTACACATTTGACTGTTTCCACTAACCAAGCTTATATCGGTATACTGATTTTATTTTTATAAAAATTAATTTTCTTTCGTGAAGAAATCAATTGCGATATTGTATCAAATGTAACTATAAAAACTTTTTGGGTAGAAGAAGTTCTTACAGGGATGAGAATTTAAATAGGGATACACTGGTTCCTATATTTAATCATATTATATTTATATACGACAAAAATGACTTCATGACAGGTGTGATACGGTTTAAAGATATTTTCAAACGAAAAAATAGAAATGAAAATAATTTGAAAGAAAAATTCATTATGAACGAATTTAAAGAGTAAATATCAAGTATTTGATGAAATGATTACTATGGGCATCAACGAACAATCTACTGTTTTCACTAAATTTAATATTATTGCAAGTTATTATTCTAGATTCCATTAACTCTTAAAAGACATCTACATCACGTTGTATGTTTCATCAAAGTATTTACTTGATGGAAAATTCAGTTATTTACGAAATCGATTAGTCAAATTTATAACTTTCAAGGATATAGACATTTGCATCTATTTTCCAGATTCTAAAATTACCATTCTAAAATAAAATGTAATTAAAGTACATTAAATATCCTTTCGGATAAAGTGTTCTTTATCCATTAACGTTAAAAAATTCACTTGTCTATTTAAAACTTAAAAAAAAGGCTGACAGATTTGTTACGTTTAGTTTATATTGTAATTTCTTTAAGAAAGTCATGATTTATTTATCACTTTACTAAGTAAATGGGAAGATTTTATCACTCGTCGTATTCAATTATCGTTGAGAACAGTTTATTTGCGTACTTTTGTCGTTCATCCCTTCCTCTATCCTCTTCTCACAGATCCGTACGCACGACTTCTGGGATTCGTTCGAAACTTGTAGGTATTCCAACCACGACGTCCTATAGAACAAGTTTCTGGACTATGTGCAAACATGTATGTACCCAAGGAACAAGAACGGTCGCACGTGCGACTAAGACGTAAACGCCAAACAATTTGGGTATGGCCTAAGGACTAGAAATAATTAGTCGTGGCACGACTTTAATTTACCTTACATTATAGTCGCATTAAAACGGTGTGCGATAAATCAAACGTGTTCCCGTATAATAGAGATTTAACGTTAATGGAGTTCTACCTCTGTACCACTCTGCTATGGTCCTGAATTTATTTATGCATGTGAAACTAAAAAATAGGAGTAAGTGATTTAGTAACAATTTTCTTATAAAATTTTCAAATTAAAAGTGTCTTGACAAAATTAGAACACGATTCGACAAACAAAACAATGCTACAAACATGAAAATGTTACGGAGAGAAAAGACTCGAAGAATATAGCATATAAATGTACGGGCGATAAGTAGTAGGGGAACATCGATGGTCAGACATCTGAATCGATTATAGAATACACAGTTCGCATATTTGAATGTAATACAGTATAGTGAATATTATCATGGATATTATCATTATTAATGTTACTGCGGGCAAGTATGCATGTATAATTTCGTTCAATAACAGATTGTATAATTTATGCAACATACGAATTTTTGTATAGTTATCTACTTGGAAGAGATGAGAATAGTTGTTAACGTTAGGGGTCAAAATATTACAAATTGTGTAAATAAAAATGAAGAAAATGTTAAGTATAGGATTGTGTATTGTTAAATGAGCAGTTCATATGGATAAGCAGATTGAAAATGTATTAATTCATTAATTCATTTGAGGTTAAAAATGAATACAGTTTTGAGAGTATAGAATGTTCATTCAATGTAAGCATACTTTTATATATTTATCATTACGCAATAAACGTAATAATCTAACAGTAAAATTTAAATAATTTACAAATACTTTTGATGGGGTTATGACACCAACATAAACAAAGTTCAAAGTACTTTTTTAAACGTTCTTAAACTCCTCGCTGATTTCAATCACCTTGAAATATGCTGCCTGTGTTATCATTCTGAACAACCTTCCCATATATACAGTTGGTAATCTCTTTTAATTTTCAAAACATTCACAAAGATACATCCGAGAAAGGGGAACTATTGTAATGATTTTTATTTATTTATTTTTATTTTAATATATTGACAAATATTCTTAAAGCAATTGCTCTGTATGATTAGCATTTTACATCTTAGGGTAGTGACTATTGGTCTAAAAGTTATAAAGCATTAAACTTTCGCATTACGCTACAATCTTTCCCCTTCACCTCTATTTATTGATGTTGTTTTCTATATTATGTACACACGAGTTTCATTTAGATAATAGAGATTGGTATCAGTGAAGCCAACTTCTCCCGGGAGAGGACGCAGACGGAGTGTCTCCGCCCACGCTTTTACTTTCTAATTGCCGACAAAACGGCTCAGCCCTTCTCCATGTTATTCCCATCCTAGAAAAACCAGCCACACTCATACTAACTTTAGGAAAGTTGCTGAAAACATTGGTTTCCATATTTGTCAATTTAAATCGGCATTCTTAACACATTGCATACTAGTAACGAGAAATTTCGTTTTTACATAAATACACTTAGCTATGCAAGTTTGCTAATTACCGCAGCATTTAAAAAAATATACAATTTTATTCTAATTGATTATCTATTTAAAATATATTCCATAAAAATCTGATATCTGGGTTTTTGCATATACAGTGATATAAGTTGATCTTACTGAAAATCGCCATCCACACAATTGAGTTTTCTGGAAATTAGTCGGTACGCAATGTGTTAACTTTGTAAGGTATAATATAATTCAAAGTTGAATAGATCTATAAATCATTGACGTGTCGAATCTATCGTCTATCTATCTAACAATTACGTGTGTAACTATCGACAATTTCCAGTAAATATTTCGAAAACTAAGAATAAGTAAGACCGCTGCATACATGCAAGGAAAAAATTGTTGTGAATGATGTCCTTGAAAACATACTTCAAGATCATCGAAATCGGTGAAGACGTAGCTTTTTATGAAGTTTCACTTAATTTGGATTTTAATATATTTTCAATAATTTTAACGTAATAGTCAATTAAATCAGACAAATCTTTTTTCCAAAAACAGTCCAAATCTTGA